CCTACCCCTGGCACAGACCATGAAATACTAATAGCAAAAGTTAGAGTAAAGCTAAAGAACAACACTAAACCAAGTATCATGCTGCAATATAATCTGAAAAACCTCCCCATTGGATTTAAGACCCACCACATCATGTTGGCTCCCATGCCCAAATAACTGCCTCTCTCTAAAGATGCTGAACTTGAAATTGGGAAACATTCCCAAATGCATTCCATAGCAGGGGGACATGATTGAACCACTAAGGCTGGATCTGCACTTCAGAAATAATAGTTTGACACTTTTTTAACTGTCATGGCTCAATGCTGTGGAATCATGGGATTTGTCATTCTTTATAGCACCAGAGTTCTCAGACACAGAAGACTAGGTCACAAACTACAAATCCCAGAATTCTGTAGCACTGAGTAATGACAGTTAAAGTTGATCAAACTGCAATATTTCTGCAGTGCAGATGCAGCCTGCCACAGGCAGTTTTTTTTATATGCAATAACAATGAAATGTGTCATATTTCCTTCTATTTGTTTTTATTTTTCGATATACAGAAAGATCTAAGTTTATCTTTAGGGTTGTTTAGAATTCTTTTTCTCAAGCGTTCCTCTAGCACTAAATGACTTACTTCGGTCCTCATGTATTGGTAGACTACAATATCCAGAATCCATGACCATTGGATTTGCTGACTGGGGCTTCCACGAGCTAAAAACCAACCACACTTGAAGACTCAGGTTTGGAACCAACTGTTATTATTGTTGTGTGCCTTCACATCATTTCTGACTTATGGGGACTCTTAAGGCTACCCTATCACGTGGTTTTCTTAGCAAGGTTAGTTCAGAGGGGGGTTGCCATTCTCTGAGGCTGAGAGAATGTGACTTGCTCAAGGTAAACCATCAGGTTTGCATGGCAGAGCAGAGATTTGAACCCTGGTATCCAGAGTTGTAGTCCAACACTTAAACCACTACAACATACTGGCCCCCTTTGGAACCAACTAAACTAAACAAATAGCTAGTGATCATAGCAATGTTGAAAATTAATAAGGTTCACTTCTAACATTGTATACATGATGACACAATAGTTTTCTCATTTACATACTATTGCTTTGGCTGTATATCCAAATAAATGTTTGCTTCACATTGCAGACTGCCAGAAATAGTGCGAATTGAGTCCACTTTTAGGGTTAGGGTTTGTGCTAGGGAATCATGGGAATTGGTTTTTTCCTGAGACATTGAGCCTTCTTTGTCAGAGAGCTCTGGTGCCACAATAAAATACAGTTCCCATGTTTCCCTAACCCTAACCCTAACCCTAAAAGTGGACTCAATTTGCACTATTTCTGGCAGTCTGCAACCCCCATAGTCACCACTCCTTTATCCTGCCTTTTTAATATATTCCTTCCTACTTATATTCCAGAGTTTGACTGGCCTCTTAAATCTAACTGTAACTTTTGTATTGCACTAATTCTCACTCTAGATACTCTTCAGCCTTGTTCTTTATCATATAATCACTTTTTTTAATGAGATGTTAAGCAAAAATCTTCCTCAACATGTATGAACTAACTTAGAATATTTTAACTATTGATTTAATTAGTTACTACACTGTCTCTTTTTCATTCCAATGTATAATTCATATTCTATCCTATTCAGAGTTTATATTATCAGGAATAGCAACTACCGTATTTTTCGCCATATAAGACGCTCCGGCATATAAGAC